AAGAAAAATATTCTACGCTACCTGGACAGCCATACAGCTCCACCCTCATCGATATGTGCCCATACCAAGCCTGTGGTTGGAAACGGATGAAACGGGCTCTGATTGGTGGGTTTAGTTCGTTAAAAATGATAGTATCTGCGTCTGTGTTTCCAGCAAAATCCTAAAATTAAAGACAACCATTGTGAAAACATCGGTTGACGTCCCATCGACAAAGTTAAGTTAATCTTCTGTCAAGTGGGATTAATACTTCATTTGCTGACCGAAATAGGCCCCATTCTTTTCTATTGCAATCACAGAAAACTGTCCGTCATCGTCGAAACGTCGACAAGTTATGCTCGAATCACAGTTACCTAAACTTGCCTATTACTCTATTGCAGAATTCTAGCTTAATTTGACTTTCATACTGATGCAGAAGTGAAAACAAGTATCAGCAATTAGCCACTTTTTTTCTATAATGATTTCGTCTTCTTGTACTGACATCAACCGATGGTTCATGTGTTGTTTGCCACGCACCCTTTTGTATCACTGATTAGTGAAAAACTTAGAAAATGAGAGCCCCTGGCCCTTTAATCTGTTCACTCTCTGACCTGCGAACGATTCTTTCAGGGGAACTGATATTCTTAACTTACCTGACCCATCCACCACAACTCATGTTCTGCCGAACTATTTGGCATACTTAACTGTTAAGTCAGGGAGCTCTATAATAAATAGCAATAGAGCTGTTTCTTCACCAAATGATTCTATCGGAGCACTTAAAGTAATTATAAGACGCGTCAACAAAAATATTTACATATAGTTAATTTTTTCATCATAGCTGATAGGATTTATTTGCAGTAAGTTACTTTCTTCTTTCCTTTTGAGTGCAACTGAATTTTTTTTTTCTTAATCTACGTATGTGACTATTCTGCATTCAATTTATGGGATTGGACCTCTTGTTTTTTAACCTGGTCTCTTAATACATTTGATTGTACCCCATCTGCAGGTTTTCCTTGGTCCCAGTTGTACTGGAAGTTCAGTCCATCGTTACTGTACATCAGTTTGTATCTGGTCACCCACTGACTGTGAGCATTTCTTCCTTGCGTTGCCACACGAGTCACTTTAGTGTACTGGCTACCCAGGTCAATTTGGAGCCATTGGAGAAGATCATTTCTGCGAGCAGACCAAGATCCCGCTTTAAAAAAGCTTCCTTGAAAGTGTAGTCTACCCTGGAAGGGGGCGTGACTGGAATCCCACTGAGAAGAAGCTTGAATTTGATTGTCAGTGATTGCACCGCTTTCCATGCCGAGAGCTTGCCAACATCCTAATGGTTTTAAAGAATCAATACAAAGTAAATCAAACATTAAAACAGATTTAGAAAAATATTTATAATTAACTGTTCTACTTATAGGTTTCTAATCAATTTTTAACCCTTTAAGAACTATCTGCTGGTTTTACTAGTTGCCACCTGTTGGTTTTATTTGTTGAACGACAGCCTAATATCCCATTTTCCTAAGATTCTCTTATGAAAGCCATACCTGGTGATCAACCATTCAGATGAAAATGAGTTTAATGTGAATGAAGTCTCATTTTCATATGAAAGGATGAGCACAAAGACTCACTTTGAGAAAGGGGCTAAAGGTAGTGATAAGTTAATAAAGATGGTGAATTTTAAGCTCGCTAATGAAATATGAAGGTGAATTGATCAACATGACACGAGCGTGGGACAAAGAAAAATTCTGAGTCCTCGACAGGAATCGAACCCATGACCTCCCGAACACCGGACGGCGCTCTATCCACTGAGCGACGAGAACTCATGGAGAGCAAGGTCATTTAATTGAGTCCATATATGATAGGTGTCCTGCATACTACTAGGATCAACGCTATCGAAGTCATCGTGAGTAGTGATAAGTTAATAAAGATGGTGAATTTTAAGCACGGTA